TTTCCAAATTTGCCCTATGCAGATAACAGTCCTGAAATTTGACAAAACCACGTGCACCAAATTGTCGGGGTACACTGGCAATATACTGGAGCTGTCATGTTGAACCTAACACAACCGAAAATTCTGGACAAAACAAACAAGATATCAACATTATCAATATTAGAAATGTGTCACATAGCACACACACCTAACACAGTCAACCACCGTACCGATGTATGCAGGTCTGTAACACACAATTAAAAAGTCAACAACCCTATTATTCACATATCGAAGGGTAAGAATCATTTAGATCGAGAAGTGTGAGAATTCATAGTTGGAGATCCTTAACGACAAATATCAGCCTTAAACTGTTCAAAAGAGATGAAAGTAAAGAGTTGATAGTTCCGTTAGAGTACGACAGCGTGAAAATTTTATATAGAGAGTAGAAAGCGAGCAAAGGTCAAACAGCAATTTAAAAATACACATAGAGCCCAAGTAACATTTTACGTTTTATAAAATACTACAAAGCTACTATAAAACAACATTCATAAAACCCTGGTCAAGACTGCTTTGCCATTGATGCATCCACCAAAACCTCATTGATGCTAGAATCTGTTTAGTTGGCCCACCCTGGAGAAGGTTCTGAAGGATATATTTTCGAAGCTCTTCTAGATTGATTTCCTGCAAAATGGTTGTACGATAAGCGCAATGAGATCCACTTCAGAACAGTTTTTAAGCTACAATAAAAGCTATTTGGCAACAATTAAAACCATAATCCGAGCCATTTACCCTAGGCACTTGCTAAGTTCAATAGAAAAAAATAACAATCAAGATAAAAAAGGATGCATAAATACTATCCGATCTTATCAAAATAATTAAAATAAAAACTGATCGTATAAAAATCTTGCCGAATTTACAAAATTATAAAATAGTTCTCATGAAGTGGCCTAGTTTTAGGTGCCATATAAAATTTGATGTGAAATGTACGTGAAAACATCGAGAAACTTGAGTCCGCCTACGGAAAACTACTAATTATTAAACATTAAGAAAGAAAAACATTCTTCAGATCGATAATCAAGCTTAGCCAAGATTTTTGTTTCTCATGATTTTTGCATCCTAAATATTTTCTCATAGCTAAATTAACTAAAATAAAGTTATATCCAAGGAAATAGAGATTGAAAATCGAAGATTGTAAAAAAACAAACAAAATAATTGTCATATGGCGGAGGCATAAAAGTTGATTTTCATGGGCTATTTGTGAAAAAATTATTTTGCTTACAAGAAATCCATTACAAACTCATAAGGTTTTGAAATGGCTTTTACGAAGAAATCCTGTAGACTGAATTATATTTATCTAAAGCCATTTTGCTTGATCCTAACCCGTTCAGATTTATGGCAGCATTTATGGCGGCAATGTTGCCTACAAAATTTTAAACGTCAAAGTTTGTTTATCTTTCGATAGTTGCGCTGTGCGATTCAGCTTTCTTCCAGGCGATTCTCTCCCGATGGCTTGGAAGCAGTTACTCAGAAAGTGTTCACAACATTTCGCATTTCGAACAGCTGTAACCTCGATCATTCCCGAAAAGATCCCCTTCTTCCGGATGGTTCTGGAAGTGCACCATCAAACGATGCAGGAATGTACGGTTGAATTAATGTTTCCCAAGTGATGACCCTTTCGCCGAACAAAATCGCAGCTATGGATCGGAAACCAACTAGTGTCCGCTAACTGACAGTTTCAGTGGTTTGCTGTCGGTACTGACGCAAGTTATTCCGATCTTCATCTATTCGCAAGGTCAGTTTTATGGTGGGATTGAGAACTATTTTAAATTTAATTTTAAAACAAGACAGTTTTTGACTTCTCGCCAGACTGTTAAAGGTTTTTAAAACAGCGAAAAGGTGAACTACTAAGCAGGAACGTTGAACACTGTGAAATGCTGTATTTAAACTAAATGGATTATTCATTGCCATTATAAAACCATCATAAATCAGAGTGGATGCCAAATGATTGCAGCATTGTTACTTGGGAGGTATATCCCCGCTCCCCACTCCAACTTGAACAGAAGCGGTGTACATAAGTGAAGACATCGATCTCATTGAAGACTTTTTCTGGGAAGGCTGGTCTGTTTTCAGGCTGTTTTGACAATGTTTTATGAATTTGAGGACCACGCTCACTTCACTCTTCTCCACCAGATGCTCAGTCGTTGATGGTACCCGTTCCGCCGGACGTGCTGTTTCTTCTAAAGAACTAAATTTTACTGAAATCGACTTCCCTTCGATCGTTAGCATCGCTTGAATTTTTCCTCCAACTTCCTTCGAGATATCCTTGTCATAAATTTGGTTTTTATTCACTATGAGGATCCATCCTTAAAGTTCAATTTGTTAACAGAGGAGATTTTATGATACACTTTTAAAAGCCTAAAAGGCAACAATATATGCTTTTTACTCTCATTTAAACCCTAATGGTTTTATGATTGCTTGGATAAGGATATAACGGGTTTATGGAGTATTTTATCAAGACATTAATAAAAAATTGCTAATGAAGTTTATGATTGATTTATAGAACAGTTTTATGGTGGGATTGAGAACTACTTTAAATTTAATTTTAAAACAAGACAGTTTTTGACTTCTCGCCAGACTGTTAAAGGTTTTTAATACAGCGAAAAGGTGAACTACTGAGCAGGAACGTTTTACACTGTGAAATGCTGTATTTATACTAAATGGATTATTCATTGCCATTATAAAACCATCATAAATCAGAGTGGATGCCAAATGATTGCAGAATTGTTACTTGGGAGGTAAATCCCCGCTCCCCACTCCAACTTGAACAGAAGCGGTGTACATAAGTGAAGACATTTATTTGATCTAATTGAAGACTTTTTCTTAACACACCTGGCACCCCTGCCCTGAGTACCCAAGTTTGATTTACCTCATGATGGATTTTGGTATGAATTAAAGATACGGATCCTTTTTCATAAGCACACCAAAAACATGTGCTGATGTGTCAGATGGGTTCTGGGTACTCAAAACGACCACCAGTGGTCATGTTTTTTAAGTTCCTTTGATTTTAACATCAACATCACAGAATTTAGAAGCTCTACCTTTGACATATCGAGTTATAGAATCAAAATAATACTACATAGATCATCGACCACTTGTAGACTTGTAGAAATATGGACTTATGGAGAGTACGATGCCTGGGGAAATTAAATGACCGAAGAATCCATCGAGTTATAGAAAATATCGAGTTATAGAAAATCGAGACGTGGAGAGTTGACTGCATACATAAGTTCAGACGAAGGACTGTACCTAGAGTTACAATTTCTTTAATAAAATTGAGAAACAGCACTTCAAGATATAGAGATTTTTCTGTAGTTACTTTTATCATTTTCGTGAGATGTTATTGGAGCTTTGATGCTTTTATGTCGACCATGTTCAAAATTGATATTTCATAAAGCAAGTTTACAAACATCAACATATTTTTCTCGTATTTGAAAAATTTAATATATCAATAATGTTAATATATTAATAGATCAAATCAACATACTTCTATCAATTACTCTTAAAGTAAAAACCAGTTCGAATTCCAATTTTTTTTTATCCGATTCCGTTGAAGAAATCTAATTTTTCGATTCATATTTTTTATAACGTAAGCAAATGTGATGTCACGTTTGAGCTTAGTCTCCCTCCCCCATATGTCACAAATTGTCAAATTCCTTTGAATCCCTTCCTTCCTCTCCCTGTAACTCATCGTAATCTAACGGCGTCGGTGGTGTAGTGGTAAGCGTGATTACCTCTCACCCCAGCAGGCCTGGGTTCAATCCCAGTCGGCGCCGCCGGGATGTTCTGAGGCATAACATCTCTGATCACGCTTTCCTTCGCATGGGAAGTAAAGCCGTTGGTCCCCGGTTCATGAGTTGATGGGTCGATAAGTAGGGTGTGGGAGCTGGCACGTCGGTAGCATTGGTGCTCAGCACGGAAAACAAGATCGACGGAAAAAACAAACCAAAGGAAAAAAAAAAAACTCATCGTAATTGTGGTTGGCCCTTTTGCCGAAAATCAGCTCTAGTTACAGTCGTTCCCTATTATGTAGTATTAAAATTCCACCATTTCTCATGACATCCCCAGTTTCAGACATCTCATAAGTTATTAACAACCATCATCATGATTCAATTAATTGAACATAATCATTACAGTCCACTCATTCCCCTAGAAAAAAAAATGAAAGTTCCCCCGTTGAAATTAATCCAACCAAAGAAACAACACGCATACACATACACACGCACACACCAATTCGTGATGGGCAACTGTGTAGCTGCAAAGCGTAGTGCTACATGTTTCCATGTTCCGCATCTCGCAAATCTCCGTACTCGTTTTGACCGGGAATTTATTCCCGTCCCGTTCCCCAATTGTCTAATCCGATTTGCCCAGCTCCAACCCTCCCTGTTCGGTTGTCGGCTGTCAGTATTTTCGCGTTGTTGTCGTTAGGCACTGTAGCAGGATCTCTCTCTCTGCTAGTCCGGCTAGCCCCGCTTGTGTTTGTGTACTTGCGAATGGTATTCAGTACCGACATTGTTCGCCTTAGAAAGGCGCAACCAAACGGAGATAAGTAATCCAGCATCAGTGGCATATTTTTGACACCGCAACGGAACGCATAACAACTCAGGCGTTGCCTTTCCCCCACCAGCGCTGACAAGCCTCTTCCTGGTCCAAGATGGGAGCGACTAATTGTCTCACGTGCCTTCCTGGCAGTCGTTTCTCTCTCTGCGTGTAAATGGTGCTCGGAGTGAAAACTCTGACAATCTAGTTGACCGAATTTTCCGCTTTGGGAAATTTTGGCGCTAGTGTTCCTACGTGTTTAGTACCGCTGCAGAAGTCGTCTCTCTTTGAGAAGCTGTGGTGGAGCACATGGGACAAATGAGAGAACTGCTCCAATGTTGATGGAGGATTCGCGTTCCAAGCATCCGTTCGTGGCCGACCAGTCTTCTAGCGTCATCCGGGCACGACGCCAATGTGTCTCTGTTTCCTCTGCGGGACGGCTCCAAAATAGTGTGTGGTGTTTAAGCAAGGGTGCTGGGAGTGGGAGCCACGCGTTTTTAAGTGTGGTGAAATTTTGCAGCATAGCATAAACAACGGTCGACTGCGGCGATTTTCGCGATGGGGATGCAATGCGATTGCTGATATCGGTGCCATTAGGAAGAGGCAAGTGTTTATCGTGTGGGCAAGACTCGACTTGGATGCTGCAAACGCCAGAAAGAGGGTGTGCAGTTTACGAAACGTCAAACCAGTGTCGGTGGTGAGCCTGTGGGTGGTGCTGGAGAAAAATCAATCACTGGGCGTTGTATGTGGCACGAAAACAAGGCTGCGGAACGTGACTTGCCCGAGGCAACGGGGAATTTATGACGTGGTTGTGGAGCAAGTAGCAGGCATGGAAATATAATTTGTTTCCCTTTGCGGGCTCCCCCAATGTGGCATTAAAAACAAATTGTTTTGTGCGAGATTCCCAGAGCCGACTGGCGTCTAACGGTGAGTGAGAGAGTGAGAGAATTATCCTTCAAAAGAAGACGAAGGAAATACGTTCCTCGTGTTCAACATTGTGTGGTGGATGGGCAAATAAAAATCTATGTCTCGCAGCAAGGCGAAAGTATGCTTCAGAGGAAAATCCAATAATTCACGGTTGAAAAAACTAATAACACCAAAGTGCTCACATTCGGATGCTGTGCATGAGTGTCACGGTGGTGCTTCCAGAAGCTAAACATCTTGTCGGGGTGAAAGATATTGATTGCCCCTTCCCAGCTGCTTGAACCCAACCAGCTGAGACGGACGTTCCCCAGTGAATATCCTCGAGATGGTGTGATGGTGGTGTGTCGGTGCTGTGTGTCTCTGTGCTATGTTGGTGATATCAATAAGATAAAATCGTGAAAAATCACATCACGACGGCGACGAAGACGACGACTGAGTGTCTTGTGTACCGGAGTGGGATTCGATCGCATCCAAGCGACAATTTCGACACCAAAGTGTGGGATTTACAACGCATTAGTAAAGGATTAAATCGTAAGAAAAATCAAAACAATCTATCACAGGATTACCAAGCAGCATCGAGACTGAAGGCGGTGGTGGTGAACTCTATCTCGAGCCGAAGGACATTTTGGAATCCTCCTCCCACGTACCGATGATGCAAGGCGGATTCAAACATCGTATAAACACGCACAGAATCGTCTCCTAAACTGAACCGGACTTTTATAGCAGGTAGGTCCACCAGACTATTTTTAACATTGACGAGGGATCGATCCAACTGATGCCATCAAACTTAATGCCTTTCCCCTTAAGTGGGGATCGACAACAGTGTGACATCGAAATGCGCGTCTGACACAGACAATCGTCGTCGTTAAAATTCAGGGTTTTTTCGCAGGGAAATAAAAGAAAACCAAACAGCAGCAACCAAATTGGAATGGAATCATCATCGGAATTTCATTCACCTCGAGAATGGATGTCTCTTTTTACGGTTTTCATGCTTCTCGCCTGTGAAAGCTCTGCCGGCCCGGAAGATGAACCATGGTTGGGGTTTTGAGAAGGACATCAGCACACACAAACACAAACACATTTGGTTTGAAATCCTTTGAGTGTGATATCCCCTCATGCAAACAAATTATTGACCATCGACGTCGTCGAACCGGTCCCATTCAGTTTGATTGGTGGTTGGGATTGATGGCAGGGTGTGCTACACAAAATGAGTTCAATTCACATTCGATCTGGAAGGAGCTGTTGAAACGGTTGATTGATGCTGGATTCGGTGCCGCATTGTGTCCAATTAGGTACAACTTGGGTTGGATTTCAGCTATTTTGGATCAATGCGATTGGTAAATAATGGCACTTCGATACTAGGATTGGGATTATGTTTGGAAACAATGTCATTTTCTGGTACCAAGATTATCTTACGTTTCAAAATAATTTAATTTAAGATTAGCAATAATAGGTTGGAAAAAAGAGGAACCATCCTATACCTACGAATTGTAAGCTTGTTATGTCAATACATCTCTCCCAAGCAACATTTTAATAAGGCAAAGCTGCTTTTGTAAACAATCGGATTAAACGTCAATTGCTCGCGAATAAAAGCTCACTCATGCAAACTGAGAACGCCATCAGATAGGGGAATGTTTTCTCTCCACCCAACCGCGAATTGTAAGATTTTTTTTACAGATTTGCATAAAAGCTCAATATTATAAGCAACATATATCAAATGATAGCGGAATCATTCCTCTACCTCATAGTGTTATTAGTTATCGAGATTGAGCTTTTATTTGTGAGAAATCGGCGATTGACGTGTTTGTTTACAAATGCAATTAGGCCCAAATCTCTAATAAATCCGGAAATCCAAACTTACATTGAAATCATTGTTTACAACAGTAGATTCGCCGTAGTAAAATAGAATAATACGAAGAAGAGTCAATACCGCTCATGTCAAGCTAGTTATACACAGGTAGACATTTATCAGTGAAATTGCATAAACCGAATCCGCTAGTCCGACAAAAACGTGACTGCATTATCGGATATTGACATGATCAGCAAACTATGAAAACCATACTAAATACCAAACACCAAACCAATGACATGATCACAGCTTTAATTTAAAAGTTAAAAGTATTAGGATACATGTCCCTAATTTTGGCCTAAGTGTCCCAAACATGAAATAAAATATATATATATATAAGAGAAAGGGATGTAATGTCGGCCTAAATGCCCCTAATTTGGGCCCATACATAAGTTCAGCAATGGACTAAATTTTCAATGGCGACCAAAAATATCCATTAGTACCGTCCCAATGACGCGTTCGTCTTTATAAAATTGATAAATAGTCGATTTTTAGCCATGGACCTAATCTTAGATCTATAGGCTAACATTAGAGCCATTTCCCATACCATTTCTTTTAACTCAACTGGAAGGGAGTATTGTGGAGCTCCCTTTTCCCGATGCCTGCATCTGAGCCAAGCTAACCGTAACATTTCCAAACCAAAAACCCCATTTTTACCGTCTTATTGAAACTTTCGACCAGGAAAAATGTGCAAACAGATTTTTGTTTTGTAGTGATGGGCTCAAACTTTCGATCCATAGGCCAACATTAGAGTTGCTTGCTCTATGTAATCAAATGCAGGTTACCACATTTTTTATGGATTACCGAGTGTCATATGAGTGACTAATACGGAATTGGGTGTTTAATCATGTAGGACTTATCAAAGGAAACAAAAACTAATGTTTAGCGCAGTGTTCGGAAAAAAACTCAAAAACTCAAATCTCATGCATGAGTTTATGCGCCCATGAGTTTTGCCTTGTAAAATGCAACGACGCAAAGATCACCTTCAGATTCAAAAATTCATTTCTTTATATTTTGGCGATATTCATTGTCATTACTATTATTTGTACATCAGGGGTTGGAAAAGTAACACAACATGCATAAACATGCTATCAATTGTTGTTTGAGTGAGTTTTATGAGTTTATAGCTGGAATGATTTTTCGGTGTTGTGAGTGTGAGTGCGTGAAAATGCAAGAGAATTTCAAGCGAGGATTTTGTTTGCCGTATTCGCACGCGAGTTTATTCTCGCAGGGAGGCTGTTGAATCATTCTCAAATCTGATTGATTTTCCAAACACTTCTTCTTCTTATTCTTCTTATTCTTCTTCGTCTTCTTCTTCTTATTCTTGTTGCTTATCGCATATTAGTTTATTGCGTGCCTTCAGCTTAGTGTTCTAGATGCACTTCCACAGTTAATAATGTAGAGCCTTCAATGCCTGTATATACACAGCAAAAAATAAATTTTAATATTATGTCGAAAATCTCATGTAATTGTTATGGTCACAATTTTTGCTGTGTAACATTTTTGCATTAGTATAATTGTGTACAGTACAATCATACTATATGTCCAGGAAAGTTGATAAATTTTCCAAACCGAAAAATTCCTAGACTGGACAGGGAATTGGCCCAACCACTTCCAGCATGGTCTTGCTTTGTAGCTTCGCCTTTACCGACTGAGCTAAGGGAGGCACTGTTTAGCGAATTAAAATTCGACCTCAAAAATCAAAATTCTGCAGGGTTAAGGTCAAGCCAACGAGCTGTTATCCAATTATTATAAAATGTGAAATTTAGGTGCTTAATTTACTGGAGGGGAAATTGGGGCGATTTGGCTACAACTCACCAAAACATAAACTCATTGAACATAGTTCACAAAAATCTCTTTGCAGGTTTAATGCTTGAAGATTGCTTTAACTACTTATTTCATTTGCGTCTAAAAATTTACTTTTCTCTAGTGCGAATATTTAAAAAGGTTTTAACTTGCTGAAAATGTCAAACATGCTATAAGCAAGCATGGGAAAATTCATTCACTCGCGCGGGCACCACAGAATCAAAATAGCCATCATCACCTACAAACAGATTGCCGAACGAGTGTAAATAATTCCAACCAAGTGACTCTGCAGATCGACTCAGAACTGACAGCAGTAGAAGGAAAGAAGAATAAACTGAAAGGCAGCCGAATAATTTTCTCTACCGAGGGAGAACTAGATTAAATGCGTAAAATCCGAATGCTTACGATTTAAATAGCCGAGTCAGATCGTTTTTGGCTCACTGATTTAAATCATTTGAATTGGCCACAGCAGTTTTACGGTATTTGCTTGACGCTCATATTTATGTGTTACAGTATAACCTTTTTCTCCATTCTTCTTCTTCTTCTTGGCATTCCAAGCTTATTTCATATCGCATGATTAGCTTATTGCATGCTCTCAACTTAGTGTTCCTGATGCACTTCCACAGTTATTAATTGAGAGCTTTTGATGCCTGTACCATTTTTGCATTAGTATAATTGTGTGACAAGTCCAATCATACTTCTATGCCCAGGGAAGTCGAGAAATTTTCCAACCCGAAAAATTACTAGACCGAACCGGGAATCGAACCCAGCTACCTCCAGCATGGTCTTGCTTTGTAGCTGCGCCTTTACCGACTGAGCTAAGGGAGGCCTTTTTCTCCATATTAATAGCAATTTAAATGTGTCAATATGTGTTAAATGCTAGAAAATAAAAAGTGATTCTTTCTCCAAAATTCTCATTCAGCTCACTCAGCAGAATGCAATCGTGAAAGGTTCAGCATAGAAAAAATAATAAGAGAGGAAGTATCCGCACTACTACACTATTTAAAATTACACAAATGTCCAACTGATGGAATGGTGATCAACATTATTACCGATTGCCTGCAAAGAGCGTTTTCCCCAACACATATTTCAAATCGAATTCCATCTGGTCTCATCGAACGGTGCTTGTTCAATCACCGCGTGTGGTGAGTAGTGGTGTCCGGTCAGCGTGACGTTGTACATTTTTTTCCTGTACACAACGCAAGCAGCTAACTATCAAGAGCCCTCGATTCATCGAAGGAAGAAGAAGCCGCACCGCTGCTGATCAGATTCAGTTGCTCGTCGTGAGCCGCTGTGGGTCATCTATGCCAAGCGCGTCACCATCGTTTCAAACAACATACAGCTCGCCAGTCTCATCTGTGTTAAACACCCTTATAGCTCAGCATTAATCAACCATCACAACAAAACGGTTCTCTTCAGGACCACCATAAATTATTGTTGTTTAAGAGTTAATCTTCATTGAATGTTCGCACGCTTTGCTGCCAGCCACATCACCCCCAAAGCTCTTTGATAATGTACTCAGTAACCAAACGTTTGTGGTAAAATGCGTAACAGTATTGAAGTGGTACATACAAATTTTCGCAATGACCGAATACCACATGACCATGTCAAGTAACCAGAAACACTTTGAATTAAGGTAAAGCACAAACATTCAAGTTCACATAATTCAACGCACACCACCAGACCCTACTTATCAACCCATCAACTAAACGGCTTTACTTCCCTTCCGAAGGAAGGTGTGATCAGAGATGTTATGCCTCAGAACATCCCGGCAGCACCAAACGGGATTGAACCCAGGTCTGCTGGGGTGAGAGGCAATCACGTTTACCACTACACCACCGGCGCCGCTCATAAGTATTCTGTAATAATTTTGTTCAAATGAACTATTATTATGGGAAAAAAATTCCCGATTTTGTCAGCATAAAATTTGATAAGGGGCTGACAAAATCGGGAAAGCACTGTATAGCCTTAAATAGAATAGGCAGTAGGTTTTAAAATTTAATTTATTCCTCAGAAAATAATTGTTACTTTCTACTCTTTGTATGCTAAAACTGTTCATTGCTGACCATTT